TGAGGATTTTATGTTGATGGAATAAAATGAAATAGATCTAATTAAACAGTATATAAGTCCTTCTATAGGGGAAATTGAAGCTTATCTGACATGATCACTGCCAGGGAAATCAGGGAGATTTAAGAATAAAGGAAGCCATGGATTGGGCACCTATTTGAACACATGCAAGAATGACAAGGACGCTGCTCCTACAGAAAGGTTCAAAGAAACCGTTCCTTTCTGCAAGTGGCACCGTTTTCCTATACTTTATTTTTATCACCCAAATGCAACATTTAAAATGTTTCTACTCCAAAAGGGATGCTACAAATGCAGTAGTCAGATCCCTACATCACAGGATAGAAAGTATCTTGCATCTTCATTTGCCAGAATCAATTTATCCGCGTTTGTTTCTTGTGGGAGAGTTAGGACAGATGTTTTTTGATTTTTTTTCTCCTACCTCTTTGAATCCAATGCGGAAACTGCTTTGTTATTCACACAGAAAATACTCATCTATTCTTTCATTTTAGAAAAGTGACAAAAATTACCTTTCTCTCCTCTTCCAGCGGCAGCCAGTGTAGGCAGACATGGCTCTCCACTCCGCTCCCCACTACCAACTTGACCTGTTTTCCATAATAAACATTTCCAAGATAGCAAATAAAATAGGCGGCTAGTCACAGGACTTCAAGCCCATCTTGGTCTCCAGCAGGCCAAGTGCAAACAAACCTCTGAACCGTTTGAAGATGGTTTTTGTTCTTGGGTGCTCTTTAAAATTTTCAGCACCTTCATTTGGATTTGTGGAGTGTGTCCCAAAGTGGAGCGGCAGGTGCAGGGCGCGACTCCCCCACCCGCCTTCGCAGTGAGTCCCCTTGGCGGGGAGGTCGCCGCAGCCCGGCACTCCGTGGGCACCACTCGCAAAGGGGCCGATATAGCCTCGAGTCCTCCTCCCGCTTGCCCCCCCTCCCTCCACCACAGCGGCCGCTCCAGGTGGCATTTCATTACTTTATCTCACGTTCCCGGTTCCTGCGAGCTAGTTTGCTGCTCACGCGTTCCAGGAGAGTTTGCAATTCCCTCTTGGGGTCAGCTCTTCCTCCAGTGTGTCTCCTTGCAGCTAGCCATTTCTTACCATTAGCATTTTTTAAAGTGTGATGCGTGGGATCTTTGCAAATCTGTGTGTGTGTGGGGGGCGCACAATATAACTTGGGGCATAAAGGGCGTTGTAGCCTGCGCTTTTTTGAAGAAGGAAAATTAAGATTCGGTTTGACTTCGATTTCTGAACACACGACGCATCGCACAGTGCTCTTAAAATCACAGCAGAGACTCTGGGACGGGGCTGAACCGGGACCCAGGCTGGAGCCACTGCTGCTCCGCAGGCCGAAGCACGGCTTTCGGAAGGAAGACCGGGATTCTGGGGCTGCTCGCTCGGAGCCCGCGCGGGTTCTGCGCCCGCGGCGGGAGGCTGCTGCCCGAGCCGCGCGGGTCCTCAGGCACAGGCTCCGAGCTGGCCCTCGCGGGAAGCTGCCTGTGTCTCCTGCCCTCGGGTCCTCCCTGGTAGACTTGACATGCAAGCCGGGGCGCGTCTGACCTCGAGGCTGCTTCTCCAGCCCTCGGGACCAGAGTCGGGCTTTCATCGGCTCCCGAAGACCATGAAATACGCGGCTCCCGGGAACACCCCGCCCTACAGCGACCAGCACGTTTCCTTGGCATCCTAACGGCTCCCTGAGATAGTCCCACCAAAAATTAAAACGACGCAGGATGCGTAAAGTAGGTGTGATCGTCACTCCAGGGATGACCCTGAACGACCCTTCCCACCGCCGCCAGCGCCCAATCCACCCCCCCCCCATTGCCGCGGGGAGCGGGGGAGGCAGGCACTCTTTTCCTGCCTCATCTTTAACTCACGGTTTTGGCCCGAAGTCTGCCTCTCCTTTCTCTGCTTTGGGAAATGTGGGTCAGTTCCCGGGGGCCCTTCGGAGACCTTCATGTCCGTCCTTAGCCCTCAGGGCGTCCAGCGCTCGCTGGACCCGTCATGTCACCAGTCCCGGCGCGCGCCTTTAGCTCGGCGGCTCCCGGGCCCCTGGGAACCGTCCTTCACTTGCAGCGTGCGCCCTGGGCGCTCAAAACCACCAAACCAAACCCAGTCCGCTTACACGTGGAACTGAGTTTTTTTTTTTTTTTTTTTTTTTTTTTACCTCTGCGGGTTCAGAGCCAACCATGCCGCCATCCTTTGGTCGTATAGGGACCAAGCTGCATCCCAGGGAGTAGAAGAGACGTTTCCTTTCCTTCCTTGCCTTCGACAATCCCACCTTTGGACCGTCTCGTCCCCAGCCCAGCCCGCCAGGGGAATCTGCAGAGTCTGGCCGGAGGCCGACAGGGGGCGACAAACTGTAAGCTTTTTCGGGGGCCCGGCGGTGAGTAGGCTGCGGCTAGCGCTGTGTGGTCCCCGCAACCAGCAGCCGGCTGCTGGAGGGGTGGGGTGGGGTGGGAGGAAGATGTGGGATGTGAAGTGAGGGCTGGCGGGCTCTGCCACCATAAAGAACTCCTGGGCCCAGTCTTCCAACCACCTCCCCAGCCCCAACGGCCTTAGCCCAGGGGAGTGAACAGAAGATGCTCTCCTGCGCTGCCCCTCTGGGCACCTCCTTGCCAGCCGCCAGCGCTCTACTAGCAGACGCGGAGTGATGTTCCCCTGACAGGGCAATTGCGAACCAGCTCGCACAGTGGCACTTCTGACTTTATTTGCTCTTCCTTGAGCGTGCACGTCGACTCCTCTCCTACAGGAGAAAAACAAAAAATGGCTTTAGCTGCTTCACTTGGTCTTGGGGGTGCACTGGGTTATGGATGCTATGGTTCCCACGTCTAGGAACCCATCTTTTTGGTCTCCAGCACCCGATTTGAAATTCAGGCGATGAAAATCTAGATCAGAGGCTAACAGGTTCCAAAGGACCCAGGAAGAACTAAGGGGAGAAGTGCGCATGCCACTCCCGCAGCCTCTGAACACTCCACGTCCTGTGTGTGCTCAGTTCTCTGCTCCGTGCCTTTGCAGAGCTCGGCGCTCAGGCGTGCCCACCTTAATCCAAACCGCCCCCTCCCCTACTCCCGACCGTAACCCGACCCTGACGGTCTTAAACAGGCTTCCTCTTCCAAATAGTTCCACCCCACTCTCCTCTTGCTAGAGCGCTGGCTGTCCTCTTCCCCGTCCCTGTGGCCTCCCCGACGCTCCCAGAGCCCAAGACTGCACTATGTTCTCCGTGCAGCGGAGGGGAGAGTCCTTACCTCTTCTGAACCTGGGTTTTCTTTTTCCAAGGGTGACTCTTGCCTGGGCCCCTGCCCCAGCCCTGCCGAGCCCCTCGCTCTCTGTCCGGAGAGGCCAGGGTATAGGGCGCAGGCCTTCCGGACACATTTCCACAGGTCGATTAGGAGCGATTGGATGCTCTTTGGTCCGGTAGCGGAGGGTAAGAGGATCGCCGCTACTCCCCGGGCTGCGCTGGTCGGGTGCATTTGTGGCTCCCGCAGCAGCTCCCGCAGCGGCGCCGAGCGGGTGCAGTATGCAGCTCTCCGCCGGCTCCCAAGTTCTAGACTCTTCGGGGACGCAGGACCAGGGACGCTTCTTGCCTCCGGAGGAGAGCTGGGAATCCTGAGAACTGAGCACTCCCTCGTAGGTGCCCCCTTCCTGCTCCTGCTAGTTCCGCCAATGCCCTTGGTGCTTATTGACCCCCAGCTCGGAACTCCTACATCTCAGCCTCCTTTTGTCAGTTCCGTGCAAAATCGGGAGCTTTCTCCCTCCACCTGCTGTCTCTTGGACCCCACTGGCCTGACTCCCTCTGGGACGATCATGGTTGGCGACACAAGCTGGGAAGTCCAGAACCGGGCGTTGACTCAATTAGAAATGGAGAAGTGCTGACAGGCAATGCTAAGGCCAAAGAGTTCAGGGTTGTGCCAACCCTCACACAAATAAAGGGGAAAGGACCATTCCTGACTTAACAAGACCCCCGGAAGCCACAGGTGCTGGGTGGAAGATGAGGCTAGGCCGCGGGGAGGGGGGGGGGAAGGATGTGGGCTTTCTGGCCTGATGGAAAGGAACTGTCTTTTAGGCCTAGAGTAGAAGCTGTGGTGTGTGACCTCCCATAGGCCAGGCCACCAGGACAAGCCTGGGGTCTGAGAATGAAGGATCTCTGTTCCTGGGAGCAGCAGCCCACAATTACTTTCTGACTGGTGTCCTGTGCCACCTATCAGAAATGAGTTCCGGTGGGTGGACGTGTCCAGTGACAGACAGAATCTAGAATGTGCCCTTTTTACATCACTGAAATCACACCACTGTCCCAATGGAGTGGGTGGCAGTTAAGTATTATACAAATTTCCCTGAAATCTGGTTTGGGGTGTCCTCTGGAAATGAGGCACTCAGGAGTCTGTTCAACCCCAAATAGCTCTCCCGGACAAGCACCAGGCACCACGCTGAACACTCACCACAACACAGCCACGACCGGAGCTGGGTTACTGGCACCACTCTCTCCATGCCCTGTGAGGAGAGGGGCGGTAGAGGCAGCTATACACTAATGACCTTGCTATGATCAACTTTTACCCACTGGTATCTTAGCGGTAATGTTGGTGCAAGTAGTAATAAAACTAAAAGCAAAACTAGTACTAGTACTAATAGCAGCACTAATAAACACTCATCAGTTTGTTACGACTACCCCATCATTCTCAAAACCCGAGGCATAAGGGGCTTCAAGGGGAGCCAGGAGAGTGGAAGGTCCCAGGTCCCGCTGGGGTTAGGGTCTGTGTGTGTGTGTGTGTGTGTGTGTGTGTGTGTAGGGGAGATGGGTTGCGGAGGAGGCCGAGGGGGGAGGAGGGCAAGGGGAGGGGGTAGAGTTTCAGGCCTGGGAGGGGAGCGCCGGATGCAGTGACGGGAACCAATGAGCTGCCAACTCGCGCGTCTCCGGCGTGACTGCCGAGATTGACGTGGAGGACACGTCAAATTGATCTCCGCACGCTGCAGCCTCCCGGTCAGACGAATTTCTCCTAATCGGATGAAGTTCACTCTAGGCCTGGGGTCGCGGGCGTGGAGAGTGTCCTGGGAGCGCCCGGCGGCGGGGGCGGGCGGCTGCGCGCTCGGCGGCGGCGCACCGCGAGTTTCCAGCCCGCGGCCCGGCCGCCGCCGCTCTCGGCTCGCGCGCGCCCTCCCTCTATGCCTCTCCCGCGGCGGCGGCGCCCGAGCTCTCCCGGACTGCGCCGGGCCCAGCCCCGGCCGCCTCGGCGCCAGGCAGCTGGCGGGCCCGCACGCTATGGGTAAGGGGCGGGCGGCAGGCGGGACGCGGGTGAGCAGACGAGGCGGGTTGGGTCCCGGCGCCTCCCTTTCCTCCCTCCTGGTCCCGGGTCCCGGACGAGGCGCGTCCTCCGCACGCCCCCAGCCATCTGGGGTCGGGGTGGGGGGAGGCCGGCGTGTCGCCCCGGGGGATGTCGGAGGGGATGTACCAACTGACGCGGCAAAGGTCGAGCCCGGGCACGCAGGGCTGAAGCGCGCGGCGCCCCCTCCGCAGCCCCTTCGCGGGCGCCCTCTCCCACGCGCGGACCCGGTGCGTTTGCTCGCCCTGCGAGACGCTGAGGACCCGCCCGCCGAGCACCCCCGGAGGCGCGCCTGGTGCGGCCACCCTGCTTGGCTAACCCGCCGGTGTTCTCTCTCCCGCCTGTTTGCTCCCGTCCCGCGCGTCCGCAGAGCAGACATACGGCGAGGTGAACCAGCTGGGCGGCGTGTTCGTCAACGGCCGCCCCCTGCCCAACGCCATCCGCTTGCGCATCGTGGAGCTGGCGCAGCTGGGCATCCGACCCTGTGACATCAGCCGGCAGCTTCGCGTATCCCACGGCTGCGTGAGCAAGATCCTGGCGCGCTACAACGAGACGGGCTCCATCCTGCCCGGAGCCATCGGAGGCAGCAAACCCCGCGTCACGACCCCCAACGTGGTCAAGCACATCCGGGACTACAAGCAGGGCGACCCTGGCATTTTTGCCTGGGAGATCCGCGACCGGCTGCTGGCCGACGGCGTCTGCGACAAGTACAACGTGCCCTCCGTGAGCTCCATCAGCCGAATCCTGCGCAATAAGATTGGCAGCCTGGCGCAGCCCGGGCCCTACGAGGCGAGCAAGCAGCCGCCACCGCAGCCCGCGCTGCCCTACAACCACATCTACCAGTACCCCTATCCCAGCCCTGTGTCGCCCACGGGCGCCAAGATGGGCAGCCACCACGGGGTCCCGGGCACAGCAGGCCACGTCAGCATACCCCGTTCGTGGCCCTCGGCGCATTCGGTCAGCAACATCCTGGGCATTCGGACGTTTATGGAGCAAACAGGTCAGTCTGGGTGGCCCTCTGTAGCGTTCCTGCAAGGGGCAGAAATGGAGATTGGAGGTGGGGGGGCGTGGACATGCGGGTAGAGGGTCACTTCTTCCTCGGACCAGTTTTGGCTCAAGGGAGGGTTCAGGGCTGGCCAGGGAGACTGAGGGTCTTGGGCCTTCTGTGGGAGTCCTCTGACATCTTGAACATTTTATGACAAATATGGAAAATATTTCCCAAATGGAAGAGCAATCGCTGACCACAAAATCGGAGGCCTGAAATTGTGCTTTTTCATTCTTGCAAAAAGTATGCAAAACCCTATCACCAGATCTAAGCCAAACAAACCACAGAGTCAATCCTGCGACCTTTTCTTATGATCCTGATCTTCTGGGTTCCCTTAGCATTCCCCAGAGGGTTCTGTTCCTTCCAGGGCCAAAGAGTCTTTTGAGTAAAAGGGAAAGGGGAGCTGTCTGGCAGGTCCTAACGAGGGGCCTACATCTCCAGCAGGCCCAGCAGCCCTGCAGCTCCTGGACCTGGGATCTTCCAGTCATCCTGGGGGGGGGGGGGGGGAGTCGTAAGGATTTGCCCTTTGCCTGCAGTTATAACCTGTCAGTTCCTCTTTCTTCACAGGGCTGGGAGGCAGGGGAGGGAGAGGGAGGGAGGTTTGGGGTAGCCTTGATTTAAGGCTCAGAAGGAACTTACGTGGGTTGGGATGGAGTCCCCAGTCTCTTCACAGTGTCCCCTGCTCCCAACAACCAGCCAGGGAATTGCAGGATCTTAGATGAGCAGACTCAGGATGGGGGTAAGAAGCAAAACTCACCTTATCTCAAGAGAAAGGAGGGCCGGCTGGAAGGAAACTGAATGCTTAGCTCCAGTGGCAGTAAGGTGCGCCTCCAAGGCAGATGCCGGGTACAGCTTTGTTTCTCCGGGTGATTCAAGCCAGAGCTGTGGCTAGTGCTGGGCCAGAGCTTCCCAAGGTGCAATCAGTTGACTGGGAGGAGACCTCATCAGGTCTGCACTCAAACCTGGAGTCTTCTCTTGGTTACCCATGCACACACACGCTCCAGGAGCAGATCTGTGCCTGGGACACACAGGGGGCTCTGGGTTGTTGCCTCTTTTGGGAGATCTGGGCTGTATCCAGAGGCAGTTCTGCATCGCCTTCCACAGGCTTGTTGAGACTGAGAAACCCATGTAATTCCCATGAGCCTGCTGTGGATTTGAGCTTGGACTTTTGGGGGCACAGTCTCCAGACAGGTTAAAGTCGGCTTGGCTGAGTGCGCCTAGCCCTGGCCCCACAGGTCACCGGCCACCAGAGTCTTACTGTTTCGCGGGAAGCGGGAAGCGGGAAGCGGGAAGCGGAAGCGGGTCTGAGGTTGGGAGGAGCGGGGAGCTTTCTTCCCTCTGCCCTGTTGGGAGTGAGAGTGGAACCGGTACCGCCACCCCTCCGCCTCCCATCGTTCTCAGAGCCTTTGAGCGCCTCAGGAGCGCCGGAGACCCTCGGCGGCCGCGCGGGTACCAGCCCAGGGTGTGTAGGCTTGCGGGCCCAGCGCAGACTGGGGCGCCCCGCTAATTCCTCCCGTGTCCCCGCAGGGGCCCTGGCTGGGAGCGAAGGGGCCTCCTACTCCCCCAAGATGGAAGACTGGGCTGCGGTGAACCGCTCGGCCTTCCCGGCCGCGCCCGCCGCCGTCAACGGGCTCGAGAAGCCGGCCCTGGAGGCCGATGTTAAATACACTCAGGTAAGTAACCGAGAGGCCGGGGAAGGAGGTGTCTTCACGGGGGAGCAGGGGCCTTGGTTGGCGGGTGCGGGAGAGAAAGAGAAGAGAAGACTCCGGGGCTGGGGAGGCCGCCCAGCGCGCCAGGTCAGCGCCTCATATTCATTTCTTTTTTTTTTAATAAATTAATTTTTATTGGTGTTCAATTTACCAACATACAGAATAACACCCAGTGCTCATCCCGTCAAGTGCCCCCCTCAGTGCCCGTTGCCCATTCACCCCACCCCCCCATATTCATTTCTCTCTTGTTCTCAGGCACACTAGTGGGGGGGGGGCTGTCCAGGGGATTGCCTTGCTTTCTGCCAAGATATTTTGTAAGAGAAAAAAAGAAGCTGGAACCCAGAACCCACCCAGAAGGGAGAGGACTCCCCTCCTCGGAATCCGGGTTGGCGGACACCACGAGCCCCCTCGCCTCGCCTCTTTCTATTGTCTCCAACAATTTGCTTGGAAATCACTTTGCCAGAGTCCGGACTGGGAGAGTCGGAGGCCAGGCGGCGAGTGGGGGACAGTTGAGCGGACGCAGGGGGAAACGAGGATTCCCTAGCTCAGTGATTGCGCGCGCCCGCGAGCACGGCCGGACTGCCTGCTGCTGATGGTCTGTCCCTCTCCGTCCCTCCAGTCCGCCTCCGGCCTCTCGGCGGTGGGCGGCTTCCTGCCGGCCTGCACCTACCCGGCCTCCAACCAGCACGGCGTCTACAGCGCACCGGCCGCCGGCTACCTCGCCCCGGGCCCGCCGTGGCCGCCCGCGCAGCCGCCCCCGCTCGCGCCCCCTGGGGCTGGCGTCACCGTGCACGGCGGGGAGCTGGCCGCAGCGATGACCTTCAAGCATCCCAGCCGGGAAGGTGAGGGGCCTGGGTGCGGAGGGCGTCGGTGGATGGCCCTAGGGCAAGGAAGGGTGCAAGGAAGGAGGGTAAGCACGGGACAAGGTGGCGGAGGGAGAGACAAAGAGGGGAGAGCTGGAGGGCTGGAGTGGGTCCCAGGCATAAATCCTTCCTAAGCCTTTAGCTTCTTGAAGCAGATTGATTTATAACAGGTGTATGCCCTGTTCTTAGAAAGGCAGGCAGAGCTTGAGAGAGGCGGGGGGGACTGTCCCTCCTGACTTGCACTGAGAGAGAAGGAGGAAGAGGGTCAGTTTGGCAAACAGAGCTCCAGGTTTGAACCTGGTTTTGTGTCGTTGACCGAGTCATTGCTCCTTTCTGGGTCTCAGTTTCTCCATCTGCAGAAGGGTTCAGAAGCATCATCCAGGCTCACCTTTCTTCAGCTTGCAGAGCTTTGCCTTCTGTGGTGGACTACACCTGATTCTTCTGGGTACCTTTCTCTCTTCTCCTTTGTTCCTCTCCTTCTCTCTCTCCTTCCTTCCTTCCTTCCTTCCTTCCTTCCTTCCTTCCTTCCTTCCTTCCTTCCTTCCTATCCCTGGTCTTTGATTCATTTGCTTAACCATATGCTTTGGGAATGGAGAGAGCATTTCAACCTTGTATCCCCAATCTAGACCTTTGAACTCTGTGTGATTGGGGGTCCTTCTTTCTGTGGGAAATGGAGCAGGAAGTTCTCCTTCCTCTTCTTCCCTGATAAGTCCAGTAACAGACTTTAGGTATTTATTTCATTGATGGTCAACAGTGTGAGGGGCGTCTTCCTGCATTGCCCTCAGGCTTCTATTTTTCCCCTATAACTTGGGAAAGGCTCACCTGCTTTTGAATCTCATTTTCCTCATTGGCGAACAAGGGCTGGATTTACTAATTTCAAACCTTCCTGCATGTAGGTTCTTCTCACCAGAAATGTGCAGCTTCCACAACTCTATAGAAGAGGAAAAGTCACCATGGGGCAGGGGTGGGGTCCCAGCCCCAGCAGTGAAGGAGACAGCACAAACCTGGAGGGCAGTATGGGGAAGAGGATGTTTTAGATTACAAAAGGATTTTCACCAACTGATCTTCCTCACACCTGCCAAGACGGACCTTAGTCAGGGGACAGGCCGGGCCTTCCATCTTTGTGACATTCAGGCAAAAAAACTTTATTTCCCTGTAGTTTCGGTGAGCTGCAATAGCATGATCAGGGAGAGAGAAACCATTAAGATGCCATCAGTAAATAACAGTCAAGTGGAGGGAATTTTTTTTTTCTCTTCACTTTTTCTAGAGTATAAACATCTTGGGGCATAAATCTAAAAAAACTGAGAATTAGAACTTCTTAAAGCTTTACATTTCAGGACAGATTGTGGTGGGAGGGGGTGTCTCATGGTGAATGCTTTTGCTCAGTGTCTTGTTCTTGGCCTTGGATCTACCTGCTTCCTTAAAAGAAGTTATGTGCTGAATTAGGACTAGAAATGGAATTTTCTCCATTACACAAGTCATTTAACTAAGCAGGTCATTTGAATTAGAAAAGTATATCCACAAATTGCAATGATTTCCACCCCCCTCTGGTGTGTGTGTGTGGGGGGGGTTGCAGAAAGCTCTTTATCTCCAGAATAGTGCGGTTGTTTGCTAACCCAGCCACTTCATCTGGAGACATTTCCGACTCTACATTAGAAACAAAATATGACGTGTAGGTAACAATCCGAAGGGAAAACACACAGTTCAGAATTCTAAACTAACTCTAGTGAATTGAGGGGGTGAGAATCTGTTCATGGTTGATTTTCTTTAGAAGATACTTTCTTTCTGAAATACAGGGCCATTTAATGGCTCTGACATTCAGGTTTTACCTGTATACTTGCTTCCTGTTATGAAACGTCCCACCCATTTTCAAGATCCACAGCAATAATTAGCTACCTTAGTTATAAAAAATTAATACTCGTTTCCTGACTCTCACAGTTCTTGAAAGATCTAGATAAAAGATCATCGAATAAATCAGGTCCATCACTAAAATGATTTCTCAAGCTGGCATACAAGTGTTAGTGTTTGGACAGGAACATAAAAATCATGAGAATTACATGCCTATTTGGGTCATGGAGTTTTACCCTTCTCACTGGCAGAAAAGTGGACTTTAAAGACTCTCCCCTGCCCCCCCCAGCCCTCCCCACCCACTGGTCTTTGAAAAATTACAAAGTAATAAGAATCACTGCCTTTATTTTTTTTCTAATCTTTTCTTAAATTGTCTAACCCTAACTAATCCCATTTACTATCATTAATTGTTGTTCAGTTTTTAAGAATAGTAGGAATAGGGATCCCTGGGTGGTGCAGCGGTTTAGCGCCTGCCTTTGGCCCAGGGCGCGATCCTGGAGACCCGGGATCGAATCCCACGTCAGGCTCCCAGTGCATGGAGCCTGCTTCTCCCTCTGCCTGTCTCTGCCTCTCTCTCTCTCTCTCTCTCTCTCTCTCTGTGTGTGACTATCATAAATAAAAAAAAATTAGTAGGAATAACATTTACTGAATTTTTTTTCAGTAACAAAAATTTTCTAATGAAGGCAATTTAATATTATGAATGCTCAGTAAAAAAGCAAATACTTTTGATCATCTGGTGCATACATGCACAACACACATATGCTATTATATCTACCTGTCTATCTGCACATCCATCTATTTCAGTGCATCCTCCAAACTAGGTGCAAATGAACATTAACTTACCTAACTGAGGGAAGCCGAATCAAATGTCAAATTTTGCATTGCTGCTCATTATTTTTATCTTGGTAAAGAGGAGCAAGGCTGGGCTCCCTACCTAACTTGTAGATGAGAAAATATGATTTATGTTTTCCATCTGTGAAAGGAAACTTTGATTCTTGGGGCCTGAGAGAAAAGGAAAGTTCCACCTCATCTACTTTTGGAAGGTACCTGATATTCTTGGAATCTCAGTATCCATCATATTTCTGATTTCTTGTAGCCAGCACAGGACTGTCTCCACACACCTCTTTCCCACCTCTGGACAGGTGACAGGCCTCACTAGAGGTTCCCGCAAGACAACTGGTATTTACAATTACACTGTGTTTTCAGAAACCTTCAAAACCTCATGGTTCTAAAATCCTTCCCAGAGGGGCTTTGGAAAAACTATGGATTCGAGTATCACTCGAATATCAAATCTAGAAGATATTGCATATTCCTCAAAGAAAATATGCTTATATTTGTTAAACTGAACTTGAAGCTTCAGTCCACTCTTCTCTGCTTGTGATTAGTTCTTGAAGGATTGATCCTGAAAGCAGACTTTGCCAGAGAGCATTAGGGTGCAGGTGTTGGCCTGAGAGATCCAACCACCTCTTGGTTTCATTTGACCTGGCCTGGAGTCCCCTACCTAGACCCCACCTCCATCTGCCCCAACCTTGGTCCCAGTGACCCTGCAACCACAGTCTCAATATTTTGAAAACCCTCCCTTGTCTCCCCTCCCACCCACTAAGATGAAATGAGCTAGCAGGGGGCTTAATGTGGGCTCAAGCCTCTGAAGCCCCCACGACACAGTCACTCATGCTTCCCCGGGGCCCTGCGGGTGGGAAAGGAGGGGAGGAGAGGTTCTATGGCGAGAGTCTGCCGTGGACAGAGCTAAGAACATAGCAGCAGGAGTCTCCCCTGTCGAATGGGGTGGAATCTGTCTCTTGGCCCCTGCGGTGTTTATTTTATACTCGTTCATTTTCTCCCTGGCATCTAAGGCAAGCAGCCCATAGCTGAGAAACCTTCTCCTGTGATGTTTTCTAAACAGGTCCTCACCTTGAAGTGAGTACAGGGTGGAAAGCAAGGGTCAGAAGACTTGGTTGAGCCGCCACAACTGTGTTTAGGAAAGAGAGCTGAGAGGTGGGGTAGAGCAGAGTGGTCACTTGGCCCTGGAAAGGTCTTTAGAACCCCCTGAAAACCCCTGTGAAACCGTGTGTGTGTGTGTGTGTGTGTGTGTGTGTGTGTGTGTGTGAGGTTTCGAACCAGGGGTATCCCCCGTGGCTCCCCGCAGCCACCGCAAGTTGCACCTGGCCTGGGCAGCTGCAAGGCAAGAAAATCCAGAGTTACTCCTGATCCCAAAGTGAAGCGCTTCGAGCACCCCCCTTGAAGAAGGAGTTGCAGGGGAAAAGAAGAAAGCTGAAATGGGCACCTTTAGGTATAAACAACCTGAAGTTCCTGCAGGAGGAGCTGAGCGGCCAGGGGCTGGGAAAGGAGAAACAGGTTGCGCCTTCGTGGCGTCACTTTGCTGGTTTCCAGAGGCAAATCTTGGGCCCCTTCCCAAAACCCTAACTAATAGAGCAACGCGCAGAGAGCCGTCTGATCTGTCACTTAATCTGGAGGCGATGGGCCCCGGGGCGTGCTGTGCCCGCAGGGCGGACGCAGCTGGCCTCTCGGGCCGCGGGGCACAACGAAGTTGCCCGCCCACTTACAGCCGGGCCGCCTCCGGGGTCTTAGGGAACCGGGCCGCCGCGGGCCGTGCACCAGGGGCGGCCTCGGTGACCCGCCTCCAGCTCGGTCCACCCTGCCCACCGCGAGCGTCCCGAGCCGCGGGGGACGGTGGACCTGACGGGCCGGCAGCTCCCTGGGCCCGCGCGCGGCTAGAGACTGGGAGGCGGTCCGAGGAGGGGCGCGGGGGTCTCCGCTCCCTGCCTCCTCCCCTGCAGTCTTGGTCTGAGAAGCCTCCCCGCCCGGGGGCGCCGGGTCGGTAGGGCAGGCCGGCGCCCGTCGCTGCCTTTGCTGGGACGGTGCGGGGCTGCGGTCAGGGGGCCTTGGCAAAAGCGCCAGAGCTGTGCTCGCGGGTGGCTCCCTTAAGGGCATCCGGACGGGCGGGCGCTAGCGGGCGCGTGGGGCCCTGGGCGAGCGGCCCCGGCTTCCTTCTTTAACCCCCGGAGCGTCCACCCCAGATCCTCGCGCTGTCACCCCGTTTGCGGACGTCCGGGCCTCCGGGGCTCTCGCCCCGCGCCGCGCCAGCCAGTGGCCCGACACCCCTGTGCTTCCTCCCGCAGTGGCCGATCGGAAGCCGTCCAGCCCCGGCGGCAAGGCCGCGGATGGCCTCAGCAGCTTACACGGACTGCCCATCCCGGCCTCCACCTCCTAGGGGCAGCGCTGCCGCGAGCGCGAGCGCGAGCCCGGGCCCGGAGCGAGCGCGGACGGGCGGACGGAGCGGCGTGCGCGGGACCCAGGACAGCCGCGGAGGTGCCCGGAGCCAGCCCGCTGCGGCCAGCGCGTCGGCCCCCAGGCCACCCGCCCACCGGCCCGGCGGCCACACTTCCCTTACGGGCCAGGGTTTTTAGGCTTTTCTGACCTTTGGCTTTAGACTGTTTCACCCTCGTCCCGATCCTTGCTCCGACGTGGCCTCCCTCGCCCCGCCAGCCGCAAGTGTCTTTTCCTACCTCTCCCAGGGTTGTTCGGCACCTTCCCTTCTTCTTCCCTTGCTCTCTCTCCCTAGCGTCCTTCCTGTCTTTGCTTCCTCCCTCCTTCCTAACCTGCTTTTCTTTCCTTCTTCCTGTTCCCCTGCCTTCCTTTTGTCCTCTGAATTTTTCTCCCGTCTTCGTTGCTTCCCTTTCTCCTCCCCTTTCTGCGCCACCGTGCTCCCTTTCCTGTGGTCCTAACCTCCCTTCTCTCTTGAGTGTCTTTTACAGCCAGGAAATCGGTTTCTCTTCATTGCTACTGCTTCCCTGACCTGCAGTAGGTCTTCCAGGAGAGCTCCAGACTGGGCTCCTCCACCCTGCGTCCATGGCAGCTGAGACTCTGGTGTCCGTCTCTTGGAGCCCCCGAGCCCCAGCCCGAAGGGAGGGATCTGGGACCTAGGGCATGGACAAAGAGACCACGGCCTTTATTTTATATTTTCATGTTAATGAACCCAAGCAAAGCCGGATGAACTGTCCTCTCCCCCCACCCCATCACATTGTCTGATAATCTGTATGTTCTCAGCACCTAGTGGCTGAGGTTCTCTTTGCTTCCTTTGAGATGATGTCACCCCAAAGAAGATTAGGGTAGGAGTAGAGGGCATTGGGGTCATTGGTATTTCTCTATTTTGAAAACTGCATGTCCTGGAGGTGCCCCTTCTCACCCCTCCACACTTAACGGGAGGGAACCTGACACAATGGAAATGCATCAGCACTGTTTTCAGTTTTCAGGGGTCAGCACATTTGTTCAGTTAAACCACACATTGCTTCTGGGTACAAAGGTGCAATCTGGCTTCTGGTTTGCAAGGGGATGAGGGTCAAAAAAACCCAGAGAGTGTCTTCTAGAGCTGGACACAAGAGCTGTTCACTGCTTCCAGGTTCAGGCACACTAGTGGCGGGACCCTGGACATAAAACTTGTGATTTTTGTAGTCATAAAAATGTCACCGGTGAGAGTGTCTCACTTGTTAAATGTGGCTACCTTTGAATAAAGGAAAGCATCTGGAGAACGCGTTGTAAGGGTGAGCAAGTCTGTGTCCAGCCTGCAGGGCTGTGTAGGTCTGCCTCACCTACTCTAGTCCCTGACTTGCCATCACAAACACTGTTCAGATGACATTCCTGCATCAGTTTATTCACTAGCACTCACTGTCCTGGGGCTGGGCAGGAGGTGGAGGAGAAGATGAAGGAGGAACACTTTCAGGGCTCTGCCCCAGGAAACTCCAAGGGCAGCCTGGAAGAACCAGGGCAGAGAAGCACTGTGCAGAAATCATGCTAACAGAAAGCTGATTCTTACAAGAACGAAAGACAGTGAGCAACAATGAGGACCTTTCCGGAACATTTCTAATGTTCTGAAAGCGAAAGAAAATTATCCCAGGCTACCAAACCATGTAGGGATTTCTAACTACACAGAGGTCTCTGGCTAGTTGTTTTTGTTTTTTTTTTTTTTTTCCTTTCCATGTTTGGCTTTCTCAAGACATTTTTGAATTGAAAGTTTTGCTTGTAGTGGAGCTGCCTGTTTGGACTAATGGAGGCAACCAGTGAGGAAATTATTTTTTATTATAACTCCTTGCAGTCATACCCACTGAAGGTATGAACTACAAAACGAGATCTGTTTTTGTTTTTTTTTCATGTAGAAACTTTGGTTTCCAGGTTTTCAAAGGCTCTTGCCTTAAAAAAAAAAATCCATTTTATAGCTAGGAATATTGGGGACCAACTATTGGTTTCTTTTCTCTGGGCCATACAGCTAACTACAAATTGCAGGGCCTAGGCACAAAGACTAGATGACAGTGTCTCATCAGAGAAGCAGGAGACAGTTATTGAACTCTGAGCCTGGGGTACTCAGCCTTCTGTGCCAGCGTTTCCTGCAGAGAAGCTGGTCTAAATGGTAATAGGAATAAGATATGAAAAGGAAGCATGTTTTCCAGTCACTAGTCCTTTCTGCCGATCTTGTATTTACATGAGCTTTACATGCTTCTGATTTTCATGAGTCCATGCTTGCTGCCTGGAGGAGGACAGGCTTGCCTGGGCCAGGAAGAAGGCATCCCCCCTGCCTCCTGAAGAAATGACAAGACTCTACGTGTTTAGCTGAAGTCTCCAAGTTGCCATCATCCCCATTTCCCTGACATTTCCCACTTGTGTGTTTGTGCTCCCCAGAGGTCAGGGTAAAAAAGCTGGGAAAAGCGACCTGGGAAGGATGGAAGACACCTAGTGTTGTAAATGCCACCTGGAAAGGGCAGCACTTGCCAAATCTGTCCCTAGTGGTTCCCCATATCCTATGGCTGGAGATGGGCCTTTCAGAGTTCCTTGGCCTTGGTGAGCCAGGGTGAGCTTTCATGGGGCATGGACAGCTCCAGGCACAGTGCCTGCCAGCAAGCTTTGACATTGCTGTGTGGGATATGCAGGGACATTCCTTCTCTCTTGAGGCTTCGGGCCATGGGAAGTCACTGTGAGTTTGAGTTAAATCTTTTCTCCACTGTACTGTGACTGACGGAGGCCTGTGACCTCTGAGCCTCTGTGGTCTTGTCAATGAAATACACCATCCCGTGTAGTGACACCCATAGTGACCTGGTCTAGAGGAAGACTGACACTGGTGTTGCTTCATCCCCCTGGAGATGATTTTACTATTAAAAAAGGATAGGAGAGTCATTTTTAAGAGTTGATGGGGGACCATAATTTTAAACCTTTTTTCCCCCCAGAACATCCCATTGGAACATTGCCGTTTCGGTTTCTGTGCTTACGGATCTGTGGAGGTACTGGGGATGTAGGATGAAATTAGGTAGTACCATGCTAGGTAGAATAATTTAAGAAAAAAAATTGCTCCTCAAAAGCGATTTGGCTTTCTAGCACTTGCCTCTTATTTTTTTTTAAATTTAAGAATAGTATTTCTTTTAACATAGAGAAACACTAAAACAGAAATAAACAAAAAAGATATAATCCCTTAAATAACCTTTTGGATTTTTTTTGAAAGAATGAAAGTAATACATGCACATTGTTAGAAAATTCTAGCAGTACAGAAACATCGAAATGAAAAGTGAAAGTTTCTTCCTATCCTCATCTCTGTTTTTAAAGGTGAACACTGTTACAGTCTTTTATGAATCCGTCCTGGAAAAGAAAATGCAGACAGTAGAATCTGTCTCTATCTGTATATGTGCTATTTAACAGCGCACACCAAGGATCTGTGCTCTATACACACAGATAGGGTCTGGAGATCTGATCTTTGCATACCAGCAGCTTCAGCTCCACTGTATTCATTTTATTCTTTTGAATGGATGCATATCAACAGGGTTTATTGAAAACAGAGTATTTGTAAAGAGGGCCAGCTTCGTGCTTTAAGTGAGCAAAGGCAGGATTTTGTTGCATTCATTATTGGAGGAGGTGCTTCGAATGGATTGTAATAACTTCTCTGGGAAGGGTGGCTGCTTGTCAGCAAGGAGGAAGGGAAGGAGACAGAGGGACAAGAGACCTGGAGTCCTTCTTGAAGACACTCAGACTAGTTTTCCAGATCACCAAAGGGCATTCAAAGTGGCTAGGCACTGGCAAATGCAGTTATCCTTTCCTTTGAAGAGAGTCCATCTCTCTACGTCAGGAAAGAGACAGAGGCAAAGGGATGGCGGGAAAGAATATTGGATAGGAATAAAACATAAATATTCAGCACTGGCACAAACTTGCTTCTTACGTGTCCCATATTCATTGGGATCTCTGTGGAATTAGCCTCCTGACAGATGAACCTCACTGGTAGACAACTGCGTTTTCCCATTTGCTTGTTTCTTGCCTCCTGTTCCAGAGGATGGGATCTATTTCATTGGGTGTTGGTTCAGGTTAATGCAGGCTGTGGGTTTCCTGCCATCAGCTTCCCTAGCTGGGGCTACATTGGCCTGGGTCTCTTTTCAAAAGAAACTCTACCTGCTTCCTGTAATGCTGGATAATATGAATTTAGGATCTTGCCAAAATGTGCCTGAGGAGCTCAGTTGAAAGGACTGTGCACCCAGACAGGCTATGTAATGAGAAACACTTGATTCTCTTCTTTTAATGGGCAGGAATTATGCGCAAAATGTTATTTGGTCTTCACCTTGACCTCGCTGTCTGAACTATAGCATCATTCACTGAAGAAATGTCCCGTGGCTGAGATAGTTCTAGCCAAGCGATTGGATCTCCACTTAGGAGAAAAAACAAAAACAAAAAAACTTCTGTTTTTGGATTCTTCTTCTTTCTTTTTTCTTTCTTTCTTTTTTTTTTTTAAAGGCCAGAGCGAGGAGGAATCACAGTGCCTCTTTTTCAAGGCATTGCAACCAGAACCACACATTTAGTCAGAATCCAACTCGGGAATTCTAAACACTTGGAACAATTATACTCAATTAGGCAAGTCTCTTCTTTGGAGTTGAAACTGGTTGAAACCCCTGTTTCACTCGAAAGAGCTCTTCTCCAGGAGGAGCAGTCTGTGATCTTGGTCGGAACACACATCTGTTTCTGGGCTGGCCAAATCCAAAAGTGGAATCCCAATTACAGTTTTCATGGCTGATGGAATTTCAGCTGCACTACAGTTGAACCACCTGGGCTGCCTCCACTGTCTTTTTTCTTCTTAAGGATGAAATAAGCTGACCGAGTGTTCATTCAGCTCTTAAATTACATTTCCATCTTGTAACATTTTATTTCCTTTTTCTCTGGTGAGATATATTGACCAATGGATTATCTCCAGTTTCTTAGACCAGCCATACAATGTCCACTTTTGGGAGTTCTCCTGGGCACTGGTGGATGTGGTTTTAGCTTCCTAAGA